TTGCAGCGTACTTCTGGCACAGCGAAGTCTTCTCAGTGTGTTTCATGCGTCGTATCCCGGCAACTAAATAGTTCAAGGTTTCTCGTAAAAGCTCGCATACCGAATACAATTAATAAACTGTGATTTTGTTTGCTAATGTGAACAGTTTGCAGAATTATGAAGCTGACTATTTATTACAACAGTACGACTGAGTACGTACTGTCTGAGCAATATAATTTTTCAATGATTTTAGGACGTACACTGTTTATTTGGCGTACAGATAAATAGCATGCCTGTTACAGCAGAATTACTATTGTAAAACTGTACTGTACTATTGTAATACTGAGCCTTATTAATTAATTTTGTTCATCATCTAACAGCGTTACAGTAATAAGGTATTATAGCACTTGGACCGTAATACAGCACTTTCAAAGTACCTAGCGTAAGTAAGACAGCACTTTATAGGCAACCGTTCGGCAGTTAATAGATTTGGCCCGATACATAGTACCGAATTCGGGTACATCCACGGCGACTTTCGCTGTCGCGCACTCCCAAACACCTTTTTGCACTGTTTTATGATATTTTACAGCAAAGGATTCGTATACATAGGCGAAAAAGCGTTTGTGCGCGCAACATCCGGTTCGGGAGTTATTAGTGAAATAAAATTCCAAAAGTTTAAACGCGCGGAGGTGTACCAAAATTCTCATTATGAACCGATGCTCTTCAAATTTTGCACGAAAACACACATTACTATGAAGATCGTTCAGGTAACGAACCAGCTTTCTACAATTTTTTTCAAATTTTAAATAAATTTCTAAAATTTTAAAAATTAAATTTAAATTTTAAAAAATGGTATAAAGCTGGTTCGGTACCAAAACGATCTTCATAGTAATGTGTGTTGTCGTGCATAATTTGAAGAGCATTGGTTTATAATGAGACTTTTGGTACACCTCCGCGCGTTTTAACTTTTGGAATTTTATTTCACTAATAACTCCCGAACCGGATGTTGCGCGCCGCCGCGCACAAACGCTTTTTCGCCTATGTATACGAATCCTTTGGAGAAATTTTGCGATTTCTGATGTATTTGGCTGGTTTAACTGTGGATCCTCGAGCTCTTTGGAGAAAGAGGAGTGACGAAAAACTCATGGACGGAACGGATCGAAGTTTCAACGTTTTGAAAGGATGATGTACGCGTGTGGAATCAGGAACTCCGGAGGACTAAGACGGATCGCTAACTTGGACCGCTCTTCGAACCCCGGATTCCACACACGGATAATGATGCACTGGATCCTCCAGGATTACGGTACTTTTCCTGGATTTAAAGTTTTTCTTTGAGTTGGTTTTGTTTTGTTTGTTTTGCTGTTGATTAGCGCGGACGTTAATTCTCTGCAGTGGGGGTAACACGCTATGCGTACAAAGCGTGTATTACGTACGTACGTGCTGTGACGTACGTGTTATCTGTTCTGTTACGTACGACTGTTGTTCTTACCTAACGCATTTGATCACTAATTACATTAGCGATTCTTCTTCCATGTTCAGTGTGTTGGGGAGTGTGTTCGGGTCTTGGTTGAGAAGACTGGGAAGTTAGCTTTTACTAGGAGGTTGGTGTGACCTTCTGGTAGAACTGTGTTCTGTTTGTTGATTAAACATTTGGGAGTTCCAGAGTGTTTGCGTTTCAGTAGCTTTCGTTAGGCACATCCGCAGTACCTAGCGGAAGAAGAGTTTGTTGTGTGCGACCACTCATCGGAGTCCAGAGTGTATTCCCACTGTACCGACTGTGTGTGCTTGGTTATCGAGAACGGAAGTTCTGTGCAACTTCCGTATAGCATGTCAATATGTTCCCAAAGTAACCATAAGCTATGCAGACAGCTTTTCGGCAGATATCGGTTAAATGCAGTATCGCTTCAGGTTTAAGGAACACAGAGAGGGCGTTCCCAGGCACACACATCGTCGGCGGCTATGATCTCAAAGGGGCCGACAACCCGTGCGTGCGGTCCGCCTGGAACGTTCCTTAATTCCGTGCCAATACAGTAACCGTATTTCAGAATCATGTTGATGTACCTAATTGTCTGCCATGTTCAGTCAGGTCCGTTTAATGTGGAACAGCAGTCGAACAGGCTCAATAATATTATATCGCTATGGTCTTGGAGCCACATCGCAGAGGGCGCTCTAAGCCAGAAAATCATGCTTGTAAACTAGGGCTGCTCTGCACAGTGCGGAGCGTCAAACTGATGATTCTTGTACACCGTGCGACAGTTGTGCTCTGTTTAGCAACTCCAAATCGGCGACGTCCTGCTTGATGAGCACTGAGTAAAAAGCCATTAAGTTTTTTGCTAGAAATTATGGTAATGTTCAACGGCATGGTAGTCAATCAGCATAGTATGCATCATTTATTTATAGTTAGTACCGTGGCTGCCATTGTTTTGTATAAACTCGGCGGGGTGCACAACGTTTGCGATAGCTTTTAATTGTGCTAGTGCAACAGGATTATCGCCACGAAGACAGGGAAAAATTGAAACCAAAAACAGGAAATTCAGGACCAAAAACAGAACAGATTCTTGCATGTAAATACAGCTAATTTCTTGAATGCCACGTTTGTGTCATACAGGAATTCTGAAAAAATGATTCAAAACAATTTCTACAAATGTTTAAACGCTTTTTGGTGACTACGACGATAAAAGGGCTTTCCTAACTGTAAGACACACGAGAAACAGAAGCGAATTTTAGATTTCACAAAGCAAGTTCCGTACAGTTGGACTTGCGGGTAGAAGTTGGTGTTACGGGTTGCTTAACGTCCGTTTGCGACGTAAGGCGCCGTAACCCAACGTCGTGGGCTGACGCGTAAAAACTGTCTGCCTTACGTGGATCTGCGCAACGGTTCAGCCATATGGCTGAACGGCAAGCCAGCGTATGCTGCCTGTGGATCTTTTTTTGTGTGCTCTAACCGCCTCCCGAAAGCAGATTGGTCACGCTCTCGGCAATCTCGATTCGATTTATTTTTCAACTGTCCGTCAATGCAAGTGTGCATCCGTACAAGCATTTTAAACGACTTTCAGTCTGCTAACGTACTCTTTATGTGACGCAGTAGTTTCTAGTGTACGGAGCCTAAACCATGTGAAATCTAAAATTCCGTAGTTACTGAGCTGGAAGGTTCGTTTGTCTCCAGAAGAAGGAAAATTAAATTGCAGCGCATTTCGTCAATCTAAATTACAAACGTAAATTACTAACCGATTATTAAGTTGTACATTTTGTGCCTCACGAAAACTTATTGTGCCTCACGATTATTAAGTTGTACATTTACACGAGCAAACTGAGGAAAACTACAAAAACTTCGCTAGGGATAACGAGAAAAAGCGCCAAAGACAACAACTGGTTCTCCCGGCAACCTTCTTTTATTTTAAATGCACTCGCAACAGCTACAACCTTTAATTTAACATTCACCTTTTTATGACGTACATGCGGCTGAGAACCGGGCTGTCCAGTAGAATTTAACATAAGGATAGTTCTCAATATAACGTTTACCTGGAAAACGTTCACATGCGACGTTCACGTCATAACATGGAAACCATATTTCGTACCAATCGAGAACAGTTTTAGAATCCCCATCAAACGTTACAACTGTGAGGAGAGAAGCGGCTCACGTAAAGCGACAAAATCTTTCAAAGGATTTCAGGATATGACATACGCCCTCGTATGTCATAGGTACCCCTTTTCGCGTCCTGTTGATTATAGGAACTTCTTTTATTTGAGATAATTTGTAGCAGGTGTTACTAAAAGTAATAAGTACAGTATTACAGCTTGTCTGGGTGTTTTTCAGGGTACAGTTTTAAATTACTTTTTTCAACCTAGAATGGGTATTTCAGCTGATTAGGGCGAATTAATAATACGTCGCCCACAGTGCCCAAAAGGTCATCTCATTTACATGCATTTGTTGTCATCTGCCGGCTTCCTTCCTGTCCGCTGAGGGCATTGTGTAATGTGTTCGACTATGGTCATGCTTGAACACATGGACACTCCGCATTGATTCGATCCCGGCAACTGAAATGTCCAGCGACCACCTTTTGCTCGTCACCGTATAGCTTCTGCCGATAGCTAACATGAAGTGACCAGTCGTTCCGATTGGATTTATTCGTTTAAAAATTGACGACATTTACTGTAATTACTGTAATTATTCCGTAGAAATTCTTCGCAACAAAAATCTAAAGCAGAATCGTTACGTATTTAAATGCATTCTTTCATCTATCTGTTGCTAGATAAATTGAGTAATCTCGTGAAAATTAAATATAGTTCAATTTACGGTCCAGTGACTTATGGGAACTTTTTAAAAGTGATGGTGCGATCGCACTAAGCGGCAGAACGAACTGGCTGTCTGCTCTTATGGTTTGGTTCTCGCAAGCCACCTGTCACATCTTAAGCACTTTAGACTTATTGTTAATCAAAATGTAAAGAGATATGGACGACTTCGTACACGGTATATTTTCGGGGCACTTTTTTACTTATAGCGACCCCAGTTTCCACCGTATATCAATTGATCCTTTTACGTGTTTTTGTAGTCTTTTGTTTTCTTATGATTTTGTTTACGGCAGGGTAGGATACATTTATAATGGGAATGCTCATCATATTCGAAATTTGTAAGAAGCTTTAAGCGGCTTTCCACTCCCAACATTATTATCTTTCGAGAATTGTCTTTCTAGATTGATGTAGTTCTTAGACAGCTGAATTTTTGGCAATAGCGACTCGTAGAGTGCCCGAAATAAGCGGAAGCCGAAGTGAGCGTCGGTCGGAGTGTACTGCGGCCGAAATGAATGGCGGCCGAGAAACTTTGGCCGAAATGAACGGGCCGAACTGAAAACGGCCGAAGTAATAATAAGTAGCCCACAGATGGCTAGGGTAGGCTGCAGATTTAAACAAAATACCGTAACATTTTTCAGATTTTTTGTTCGCTGATTCAGCCAGTTGCTCGTAACGCATGGGTTAAATGCACGCAAATTTTTGCCTCAGAATATAATGCGTGTAGTGGAACACGTTACTACTTCCACAAAAGTTACCCGGTACCATTTTCCAGTAGTAATTAGCGCGAGCTCGGTGCAAATGATGTGGCCAACACCCGCTAGCACAAGTAAAACAGAAGGCATATTTTTTTGTATATATAAGTAACATCCAAATACCAGCCAGCGATCTGTCCGTAAAATACAGATAAAAAAACAGACCCAACCCGGCACCAAATCACGGTGGCAAAGACTAAGATTAATGTCACTAATGGGAGAAAAAGAGATTCGAAGGATGCACGAGAGATTTTAGGATGAACAATAAGCAGCTTAACCAACCAAAAACACCAGATTATCTCATAAGAGACCATCTTTGCTCGCAGCTGAAAGCTAACAGAAACCGACCAATAATCTCTTCGTCCGGAGATTGACACTGAAAGCACCACTCTAATAAGTCGTCACCGTGATATACGCGCTCTGCACCAGCCACTCCTCCAGCACGTCGTCCACTCTAAACCAGCAGCGATACCGGCCGGCGTCCTTCAGCGTCACCGACGGAATTATCAGCGCCATATAGCACGCCCCTTTCACTGGCGCCAGCCACCAGGTGATGCTCTTCCGGTAGCGCGTGACGTGGTGAAGGTGCTTGGCGTAATTGGCCATCATTAAATCGCGCTCGTTTGTCCACATGAACCGCTGCAGCAGATCGCCGGCCATCTGGTCGAAGTGGACGTAACACCGCAGTTCTACGCGCTCGCCGATCTTGGCGGAGACGCTCTGCATGGGTGGCGTGAAGAGTTGCTGCGCGGTAAATTCAGCGCTGACAACATATCGCTGACTGATGAAGACCTCAGCTCCGTTATACCATCGGCACTCGTACCTCCCGGTATTGGCTTGGCTGAACTCGTTTAACTTGACACTGGCGAATGTGGAACTGTGCATCGAAACATTAAATCCTACGATCGTCGAGGTTGAGTTGGTGCAACCGCAACTGACAACGGGTCGGGTCGGTTCCACCGGACTCGTTCTGGTGAACTCCATGTCGTTCCAGCGCACTGCCAGGTGGTGACCTTTGACGTCATGTCGATTTGTGCGGTCGTCGTGGCAATACAGCGTCACAGGCGCTCCTTCCGCTGCCTTTATGAGTACCGAATTTGCAAGGGGATCAGGCGGATGCGAAGGATTGGTCAGGGTGCCTAGGAATGCTGTTCCGCTCTTATTTCTTGAAATAGCACCGTCCAATCGTTGTAGTACTATAACGACACAAAAAAATATCGAAGTCGCTATTTCGCCGCAGTATGGTCGACGAAAACAGCATGTTGGCTATTTTGTCGCCACTGTGGTTAACAGCCAGCTCGGTGGCTATTTCGCCGCACAATATACCGCCTTATCAGCTATCAGGCTACCTACTTAGGTTGCGCTATTGTTTATGAAAAATCGTGAGACAATCAGACCCTACGCGCGTCAACTTTCTGTCCCGTCCTGTTGACATAAGTGACAAATCCTAGATCTGAAAATTACACTTTAGTCCAGAACCATGCGGCTTTTTGTGAGTTTCCTAACAAATTCTTTTGCTATTTTCCTTTTGGTTTTTCTTTGGGTTTTCTCAGACACCAAGAAAAACATGCGCTCAAATTCGGCTTCATAATTACTGGAGCTTTAACCGCTTTATGATGGTTCTGCTCGTCCCATTCTGCGCTTTTGAATTTTAGCGAGCACGTTGAAGTGTCACTAGCAACAATCAACAAATTCGGCAACCACTTAATGTTGCCCTTGCCTCCACTTCCTGGTACTTCCCGTTTCACAATCATAATTTGCACCAAGTGGAAGCGATGGTCCGCTTACTGAAAGACCAATGCATTAGTTGATTTTTGTCCGTCATGGAAGTGCGTTACGAAAATTAAGCACCGATGTCATCACAGGATTCCATGACTGTCTTGGATCATTCTTTTCAGTGACTGAAGGGAAGGCTTATTTTAAAAAAATGTTATACAAGCCCAAAGATTTCTTGAAATAGCACTCGGACCACGGCCAGCGATGATCGTAATGTCCGCCCCATAGTCTAGCAGGTGATTCGTGTACACGAATGGTGAGAATGATAAGTCGATGACAGATCTACATGGAAATGCTGATTTTCAGAAACGAAGATAGCTTGGTGCTGTGAACATATGTACCCTGCACGATTGGACTGCGATGGACACCCGATTCGGTCGAATATTCGGTCATGCAGTGCCCGCCAAAAGCTTTCTTTTGTTTTCATAGGTATTCTTAGGTTATCCTTAGGTGATTTATGATAATAAGAAGATTTCTTTTCATTTTTATATTTTCTTGGTGTTTTACGAAGTTACGGTTAGGTTCTCAGTACTCTCCTGGCAGGCTTCGTGACTTCGGGTTATCCAAAGGGAGACAGGATGGTGACAGTACCACTTTCAGAACTGCTCAAACAAATTGTGCGTGCAAATTGATCTGAACGCGGCCATTTGCTATCATTTTTTGATTCAACGGTTTTAAGTTTCCAACAAATTTATATCGAAAGTAACGTTTTCGTGTAAATCAAACCAAAATAGGCGTCGGCCGAAATGTAATGTGGCCGAAATGTAATGTGGCCGAAGTGAGTGGCGGCCGAAAAACTTTGGCCGAAATGAAAGCGGCCGAAATAAAAACGGCCGAAGTGATCGGTAGCCATAATAATAGTAGCGGCAATGAACTACTTTGTAGCATAAGAATAACGATAAAATTCCATAATTCAAGCAGAACCTTTCAAATACACCCCTGCCGAGCGCGGAGTGCGAGGCTTACCTTGTAATAATAATGTTTTCGAGATTTATGAAGTCTCGGGCTTATGCGCATCGATACTTTATGATTATTATAAACTTTTGCGTTGCTGACTACTTAGAACTGGTAAAGCGAAATAAAAGTAAGTGGCTGCTAATGTTGGACTTTTAAGTGCTTTTTAATACATTTAATAATGCCACACTCATAAATTTCGAAATTGTTTTATGAATCCCAGCCGATTTAAGCTTTTTTAAAACCACTTAAGGCCAACCTGATGTCTCAACCTGTCTGTTAGAATAATACTCGCTCTTAAAGTTGAATCTGGAATTAAAAGTCAACTGTTTTGGAATAAAGACGCCGATTGAAGGGTTTACACAAGTGTAGATCGCGCGCTAAACAGCAAGAAATTCAGAGTCGAAATATTCAAATATGTCGTTTATTTTGTGAAAGATTTCCTATATTGAAAATCCTAAAACTGCTAAATTATAGATTCATGAACTGGTCATAGATGTAGATGTAATAACTTTCCAAGGACTGCGAGGTGAATAAAATGAAATATGTAAGAAAAATGTAAGAAACAAGTGGTTTTGACTTGGACCTCTTTATTCGTTATTTTATAAATAATTAGCTTACCAAATAGGCTATTAAACCAAAATCTAGAAGTGCAGTATCAGTATAACCTTAAAAGCTGAAATGGCAAGGACATAAAATGGCAAGCACTTTTCCAAACGCCCTTTGTAAGTTGTTAAGAACTTAAAATTTTAATGGAAAAAAATCTGTTGCTACAGCTGATCTTTCCGGAACTTCTCACAATGTGACAATAAACAGTACGAGTAAATACAAAGCTTCAAATAAACTTTTTAATCCCAGGCGAATCAAAATTTTTTTCAGAAACCATTTATGGCCAATCCACATGCCATAAACTATTCTGTATTTTTTTAAAAATTAGGATTTATAATTTCTAACTTGAATCGGTATCCGGTACGTATCGGTGTCTTTATCAAATCGTATTTCCATCTATTTCCGTTGTGTTTTTGGTCGGGAATTTTGACTAGGAAGATTAAGAGTGTAAACAAACTTCGTTTATTTTAAAACGTAAAAATGCTAAACTAGAAAAATGCACGTTAGCGTGCATCGGCAAACCGGAGCGTGACTTACCAGGGCCCGGTCACCGACTCCCGGCTCCGAAAAATTTCATTTTTTGCAGGAAGACAGAGTAATCCTTGGGTATACTTAAAAAAGTATTTTCATCGGCCATGGTTAAGTGGGCGTGGCGGAACTTAATTCCAGTGCATTGATACATACAGCAACAGCATTATGTACTGGGAATACCGTAATAGTGTACATACCGTACAATGTCCGAGGTTTGTGACCAATACGTGTGCTCAAAGTCGGATCCTTCTAAAAATTACTGTTAAGCAAATTACTCCATTGTTCATCGAACAATTCGTATATTCTTTGCAAATTTTAATTGAAATAAACTGTAGCAAGGAGTGAGAAGTCATGTTTGAGTTCTTTATCTCGCGTTAATAGTGTGCTAGTGACGCTTGTGCCCCTTGCATCAAGCACACATTTTGACCTTCCGGTCTGCGAGCGCTCATACAGCATGCCCTGTAACTTGTAGAAATCAATCTGTGCGAAGCTGAGAATATAACGCATATTTGAAGTGACTGAGAAGTCCTGTCTTCTTTTATAAATACCAAAATTTGTTGTTTTGTACATGTTCTGACGCAGGTATATATAACAGGCTTGGCAGAACTTTACTGACCTCGATGTGCTAAATTCCCTAGTTTCTCAACAACTGGTCATTTGTAAAACACTTTGAAGAATTGACCACCGGTATATTAACGATGGTGAACTTTCTCCGGAACCAGCCCGGCTCTTTATCTATGCTATCCCGTTCAGTTGTATAGCCGGATATAGCATTATTTCCACTGTACATGTTACTCAAACTGTGATCCACATTAAGGTCGATGGTCAGTTGTCCAAAACATAAGCAGAAGTGACCAACTGTTGCGAAATATCCAATTAGCACTTATGTAATGTTGCATTTTAGTGATTTCTCGTTTTTAAGTTTGTCATTCCGATGAACATCACATTGCACTTGTAGCGAAGTACTCGTTGAGATATATCGTTCGAGCTATTGACATATTCTATGCGACTTTTTTATCAGTTGTTCTAGACAGCAATGGATAACATGTCGGCACAACATGGTTACCATGCGTGTTAGGCCGACATGGTCATCTCCTGCTTGACCTGTGGTCGCTAAAATTTCGAAAAAAATATTTTTCTCTTAACTGAATTTTTGTGTTCCAGACTGCCAATTTTCAAAACCGTAGTCCCATCCCTTCTAGTACCCGGTTTTCCTGGGTTAAAGATACTTAAATTTTTAGCTTTTGCCACATAAGTCGCTTGAATATTAAATCGAACGAATATGTAGTTTCGATGCTTGTGCTTTTCTTTTCCTTAATTAGTGCACCACAAACTCTTAAATTCGCATCTTAATTGCTGTCATGTGATGTCGCGCTTTTTGTTTTCTCTTCTTATTTAGCATTTTTTTTGTTAGCTTAAAAGGAGAAGACTCGTAGCAAAGGAGAATACACCAGTTATTATTAGGATTTTGAAGAAACGGTACCGTTCTGATCAGTGTCCGCATGTAGTTTTGCAGCGCCACTGTAGTCGCTAGCACTAAATCAACTGGAAAGTGGAAACCCGTAAGCTTCCCGCAGTGCAATTCCCGTCAAATCGACGTCAAATCAATCACCAATGCCAGATGCCATTCCTATTACTGCCGGCCAAAATAAGTGAGGGATCGTTTGCCGGTGGCGTGGGAAGGAGGGAGGGATGGACTTTGGGCTACAGTATTATTGAATTAAGTACTTTCAATACTGAACTACTCCAGTATCATTGAATTAAGCACTTTTAACACTTGTACTGATCTACTCCCGTATTATCGAATTTCTTTGAATATTGAATTACTGTTCTTTGAATATTAGATTACTCCAGTTTTGTTGAATTAGTTTGTATATTGAGTTACTCCAGTATTATTGAAGTACCAGTACTCAGAATATTGAATTATCCCGGTACTGGGAAAGTGCACTCGCTTTTGGCGGGCACTGCATGACCGAACGTAGCAGTAAAATATCATAAATTTTTAATTTTTGAAACCTTTGGTCAGGCTAATTTCATCAGTTTTAATCTGCAAGTATTATTCTTCACATATGCCAGATACGCGTTTCTACGCTCGGCATTGAGTTCCAAATTCCTACAATGCCAGACACAGATCCGAGATCATAACTTAATTCTGTAGCAATGTGAATGTTTCCTCTACGAGGAGGGGGTAAATACACGGGATAGACAGAAAAAGATACAGATAGTTACTGCAGCGCTAATTTTAGTAGGAGATAATTTATCAGTCTGCAACTGTTATTTTACCTGAAATTTCGTCCTGGTAACATATTAAAGTCCTGGTGGCAGCTTCTGTATGTAGGCGGAGAGGTTACGGTTAACACACCCTGCAGGATTGGGCTGCGGTAAACATCCGGCTAGCCGTAGCATGTAATGCTGCTGGCATCACGGTTTAAAAGACAGACGGAGGAAATGTGGTCGGGTGTCCATCGCAGTCCAATCGTGCAGGGTACATACGTGTATGTTCACAGCACCAAGCTATATTCGTTTCTGAAAATCAGCATTTCCATGTAGATCTGTCATCGACTTATCATTCTCACCATTCGTGTACACGAATCACCTGCTAGACTATGGGGCGGACATTACGATCATCGCTGGCCGTGGTCCGAGTGCATATACGACCCTCCGTGGGCTTGCATAAGGGTTGACGGAACCGACATATGAACACCTCCAGTTATAGGTATGTCGTGAGAATATATACGGCGACGGACCACGGCATATGTGTGCATTCGGTGACAAAGAGAACTGGGCACGTGTGCATTTTCAAGAGCCGCGACCGACGGACGGCTCTTATATTATGTTTTTGTAGCATTTTGAACCGACGGGAGGCCACTGCTTTACTATCCACCAGGAGTATTTACGGCCACATTGCTTATACAACCCGTATGGACGATGTTGGTGACCGACGGAAGGGCAACAGATTTCAATAAAACTGAGCAGAGATCACCTTCGCTAAGATTCGGTCGAAGATGTCCCAGAATAACAAAATTAATTAAAATATTTAGGTAAAATTTTGTAGCGCTTTTGTGTCGTAGAAAATGCAGTATCTGGGCTAATACAACCAGTTTCACCTGAAGTAGGACTTGGATATAGACCATATAGTATTATTATCACATACAAGCGATCCTTCGATTTCGCGTACTCCCAAACACTTGATTTCGTTTTTTTTATATTCTTTAACCAAATGATTTGTATACACTGGCATAAAAGCCGTATGTGCGCTCAGCGTCCGTTTGGGATGTTATGAGCGAAATGAACTCCCAAAAAGTTAGAGGTGTACCAAAGGTCTAATTAGGGACTAATCTGTTAAAAATTTTGCATGTAAATGCACAAAATGAAGATAATTTTTAAGATAATTAGTATGAAGATAATTTTTATACCGAAAACAACACTATCTAATTATTTTCGAATTTAAAGCATACACTACTGAAATCTCGATTCACCACCAAGGGAAATGCCCATACCATGGCTGGCTCCAGCCTCGAAATACCACCGTTTGCAAATTTCTCAGTTTAATGTTACTATAAATTTATAGGCGAGAAAAACACAGCACGGTCTTCTTGAGGTCCAGTTCAGCCTTTTACGTGCCGCTCTCGAGCTGCGGTTTCCGTTAATGTGAGCCCATGTGCTCACATAACACAACGAGCAGCAGAACGGATGCGACTAAATTTGGTCGCACTCGTTCTGCTGCTTTAACAGGGGGGTGATTAGGCTTCGGTTTTCGCTTGACCTCTAAAGAAGCTATCACACATTCCCTTATCGTTTTCCCGGAAAAGGAGCTTTTATCGGGATCATTTCAGTTAAGCAGATCATATGCTCATATTAAGGTAAAGGCATTTGGCTGCTTATCATTGCATGTATTGTACAGTACACAGCAGCACTAACAATAAACAGGAGGCATTAGCGCGACACCCCCTTCCGGTGCTACGTCACGAGAAGGCAAGCCAGCCATCTGCACAATGCTTTATGACTCGTAGGCTCCATTGTTGCCATATTAAGCGAATTTAAGTTTTGGAAGTTTAAAATGAGCGGGCTTTAACTAAGAAAGAGAAATTCTAAGGTTTTCGATGTATAATATGAGTGCAAGTGAAGTCAATTAAATGTTTTAAAAAGGTCTCAAAATTGTATGCAGTTAGCACACAACGGTCGCTCGGTCTGGACCGACTGTTGCATTGAGCCATTGAATTTGTATGCTAACTCGGCTTACTTTCGAAACGTTCTAAAAATCTTACTTTGCCTTTATTACTGAACACATCTGCATTATAAAACTTGAAATGTTTTGCTCTTTCTTTTGAGCTATAACTCGGTGATCCCACAGCACGGGAAGCAAATGCGTTTACCATAGCAGTCTATGCCTCTATGGAGCATACGAGCCTTAAAGCACTGCGCTAACTGGCTGCTTTGCCTTACTGTGACGTCACCAATGGCGCGCGGACGCTTTGTCGATAGTACCGCCATGACAGTACATACATAATATACTACTATATTATTATACATTCACGAGTCAGTACACTGAATGTGCATGTACGTACATGTACTGTAATTGCACAAACGTACAATATGTAGAGCGGTTAAAAGCACTATTTAACCGGTACTTATATATCTTTGCAACTATAAAGTGTTGTCCGGAGACGAAAGGTATGTTACTAAAATTGGTGGTGTCTCAAAAATAGTTGGCCCGAAGACAAAACTTGGTGTAAAGCCGGTGTCGGGTGCCCAAAGGTTGGTGAAAGGTGGGTTCGGGAAACTTCGGTGGTAAAATGTGGTGTTCAGAGCGTTCTCCTATTATTAATGATAATGAAATGAAGCAGTCGCCATGTGTGGCGGTGACTTAAGTTCTCCTGAGGTGGTGCAGTGGCGGGCGCTTAACTGTGCATTCTCGGTTTCTTTGTAACGCAAACAGCGTAGATACATCATACGGGTAAACCGATTTGAAAATTTTCAAGTACTTCAAAAAAAAGCAAATTTCCGAAATCCGCCAAAACATTTGTTTGCATGCAAAGAACTCAGGAAAGAAATAATCGAAGCTGCTCTCTTCAAGCGTATGTTGCCCAACCAAATATCACACTGGGCTAGTTTACGGGTAGCATGTTTAGGTTACCGTTACTCTAATGTTATCTTAGGTTATGCTTAAATGTCCTGGGTTATAATTATATTTTTTGAGCTTCGTTAAGCTTTTTGGTTGTCTAGCTAACTTGAACGATCGGCGATCCCTAATCAGTACTTTAATGCTTGAGTATGCAGTGCCTGCATCCTATAACGAACAGTGGAACATTATCCGTATAATTTCACCACATGGTTACTTCCAGGTTACCACTTGGCACTAGACTTACAGAAATTTAATAGCATTAAGTTTTTAAAAATTATATACTATAAATTAATAAATTTGATTTCTTTTATACATTAAAGTAACTACATGTATTATCTTAGTACGTACAAGAATTCTGATTAGTAGTCACGGTGCCATAGGGCAAAACATGTTTTTGTTGCCGTTCTACTCACCTTCTTCTCGACGCCCACTCTTAACGGGGCAAGCAGTAAAACAGCATAATATAGCCTGGGCGATAATAAAATAAAACCAAATATCCATGCTGGTTTCTTTTGGGAGGGCAGAAGCAAAACGTTAATTATTTTGATCTTCTAAAGCTTACTGCAGTAGCAGGACCGCGCAGATGTGTAGAACAATAAAATTTTGTCCAAGCAACGATGAAAATGAATAGAATTTACCACTTTGGATGATATAGTTTATGTTGGTAGACCGAATTCGTTTTAGCATGAGACTTTAACCAACTGATTCAGCGTTGCGACTCTACAGACTTCTTGATGTTGATCATATGATCGTCAAAACGTGCATGTTCTAGCATTAAAAAAGTACGAGTCTCCCATATAGAGCGAAGGGTCTCTCAACTCAACGATTTCAAAATGAATGGGAAAAGTTGCGAAACGAATGAACGTTTTTAAGCCAAGCGCATCAGCCTGTGACTGTTGTTCATACGTGACGAGTCTGGTGGCTGCTGCTGTTGCTGATAAGAACACCAGCGTTAACTCTATTTGTATTCATTTTTGTAATTCATCGGGCGTGATCTCCCATGCGTGTGTTGCTAATATAATTATATAACAAGCTGAACACGGATGAATATTGGTGAGCACTGGGTGTCAGCTGCAATGACAATATCGAAAGAGCCCACGAGTACGTACTACACCGGTATCAAGTGCTTGCGGTGTTTTCTAAAAATATGATTGTCATAAACACATTGTACGGGTTTTACTCGTCCTTCATCTTATTAGCACAGAGTAACACAAATCAAAGGTCAACCGTGGTTGCATTAAATACTGTTTTCCTAAAGGCTAGGTCGAATATCAGAAGTTATTTTTTCTTCGTAGGTATTGTTGATGACAAATGTATAATAATCTCCCGGTTAGATTATTTGAAAACAGACTTCAAACAGTACCCGTAGAGACCTTCAAGTGGTCACCTATGTTAAGCCAATGGGCGACATACCTTCAAGTGGCCAGGCATCAATTATTTGGCTCCAGAACCGATTTTCTTCCGGTTTTTTGGTACAGCATGTTCAGCTCAACTTGCTCTTTATAGAGTACTTGAAAATTTCAAAATCGGTTGAACCGTTTTTTGGTTATTTACGTTGTAAAAAACCAGTGACGAAACGCTTAAGCCACGCCACGAGAGCCACTACACTACGCCAGCTTATTTCACTTATCAACCACAGATGTGCGGGTGCAGCAAGCGCTCGCTTTATATGATAACAAATTTTTGTTATCACTAACCTGATTTTTCGCATGCTTACTAATTTGTGATTTTTATTATTTTGATTTCCGTTTTTTTTGTATATTTTAATGACTTTTTTAAAACTTAGTTTGATCCCGGTTGCCTGTACGCTCATATAAAGCGAGCGCTTGCTGCACCCGCACATGTTAAGAGCAAGTTGAGCTGAACATGCTGTACCAAAAAACCGGAAGAAAATCGGTTCTGGGGCCAAATAACTGATGCCTGGCCACTTGAAGGTATGTCGCCCATTGACTCAACATAGGTGGCCACTTGAAGGTCTCTTCGAGTAGAAAGGTAAAGGTTTAAGTGACGAAGGTAACAGAAATGAAAATGAGAAATGCGGAAATATTTTAGCGGATCACAGTGTTATACAGAGCGTATTATTCATACTGCGGTGCATAAGGTTATTACCTATGTATTCATTCGCTTCCCTGTCAGACGAAGCAGCGGAGTTCCCTCGGGACCGACATGCTCCACCAGAATGCGGCGAAACCAGAAGTGGCTCAATCTGTACCAACATGGGATTTAAGCGTCACTGTCGCGTTGCGGACCAAGTTTCGCGTTGTAGCGAACATACACAGCGCAACACGGCTTATAAGCCGCAAATCGCAGCAACGTGCCGCAACAGTGCTGCCATGCTTGGCTGGGCTATGCCAGCGCAACGCCGCAACAGGCGCAACACGGCCTGTAAGCCGCAACACGCAGCAACGGGCCGCAACAGTGCTGCCGTGCTTGGCTGGGCTATGCCAGCGCAACGCCGCAACAGGCGCAACACGGCCTATAAGCCGCAACACGCAGCAACGGGCCGCAACAGTGCTGCCGTGCTTGGCTGGGCTATGCCAGCGCAACGCCGCAACAGGCGCCACACGGCCTATAAGCCGCAACACGCAGCAACGGGCCGCAACAGTGCTGCCGTGCTTGGCTGGGCTATGCCAGCGCAACGCCGCAACAGGCGCAACACGGCTTATAAGCCGCAACACGCAGCAACTGGCCGTAACACGGCATTAAAATTGCCCAACGGTCCTTAAGCATTTCATAAATACGAGTACATTACATAACGAAAATAGTTAGTCACAAATTCACAGCAACAGAATCTCATTTAATGCTGCCGCTCCTTCCATTGTTCCAAGTACACAAGTGGCGTTGCCTCGCTGAATTGCCAACGATATTCGCTGGCGCAGAAACTCATGGGAACGAGGTTCGCCTGTTTGGAGCTGGAGTCGCTTCCCAATTTCTTTAATTAGAGCGATGGCCGACTTTCCCCACGGTCCGAGAGTTTCAAAGGCTAATGGCGCGAAGATGTATCTTCCCAACAGATACAAGTACAGTCGCACTTGTTTAGTTGTTTATCTTCGGCCTGCGCTGCAGCGGATCCAGCAGAAGCTGACGTGGATTTTAAGTGAGACAGGGCGACGGTATCGACACAGGTGACGTCCCACGCCAAGCACATACCGCGTTTCCAGGCGAAGGTCGTGCACCCATCCGGCCCCGTCTGATCCGGGCGACGATCCGACGTGTGGGATGTTCCGCGCGGCTCCAGTTTGGCAGGGATGTCCGCTGACAACAGCGCTCTGCAGACGATATTGTTCAGTCCGCCGTGACGCGGGTGTCTTCCAGCAGAGAAGGAACAGGATAAGCCGTGGTGGCCTTTGAATTCGCTCTCATCACTTTGCTTGTATCCCGCTTGCGCACTTAAACGGTCAGCTTTAGAGTATATTGTATGAAACAATGACACTCATTCTCTTTTTTGCATTGCGCTTGATCGTGTTGTCAGGTTGTTTGCAGTAAGTAGAGAATTTGTTTCTCAACATTTTGGTAGTAAAAGTGTCGAAAAAATTTTTTTTGTGGGAATTTGAAAACCTGTTTGGGCCATACAAATTGGTGCTACGATCCGGCACTACTGCCAAATGCGGGTGTTCGCAATGAGATTGGCATTTTCGATGTGGCTGCTCTTGTTCGAACTCGTCTTGCAATTCTTGGCTTGAATATCCATGGACTTATTTGATACGAATCTGAAAATGCATTCTGTATTCTAAATTTGTTGCGGTCACTCCACATTGCGTGATGCAAGCACTTAGAGCACCGTGCACGCCACTTTAAACCTTTGTCAAACGTTGTACGTTAAGGGAAATGGCCCGGTACATACAGAGTAGCGTAAAATGGTACTGTATAAATACACTAAAACTTTTGCTTGCGCGAACTTCGAATCACTTTTTTGTAATACTTACTTTATGTCATTCTAAAGCTTAATAATTTGTTTACATTGTCCTGAACACCGTTTGCGCGCAGCAACATCCGGTTGCCGAGTTACGGTGCAACAAAATGGGCGAAAAGGTTAAATGCATTGTTGTGCACTAAAATTCAGGTTATTACCCGATCTTCTTGAAACTTTGTTGTAAAAGACGCACGACCATAAGGTCGAAAGCGAAACAATATCAGATTCATAGCAATTTTTTCCGATTTTAAAATAAATTTCAAAAATTTTAAAATTCATTTTAAAATTAAGTGCTATGAACCTGAAAGGGCTATGAACCTTCGCATTCCCTTATCAATGTCCTGCGGCAGATTTCTCTCTTTCGTTGGACACCTACCATAACAACTTTACCTGAGTGGGTGACGCAAACGCTTTACTGTTGTCATTTACCCACAAAGTTATGAGACAGTAACTTCTTCGCGGATAACATTTTCCTCTGACATTAGACTATAAATGGACTAGAATAATGGCTAGAATAATTACGTTGTAGTATCCTCTGCTTTCTTTCTTCATTGTATCCCGTACGTTGGACGTATCACCTTCTGCATTACTTTGTGCATTGTCAGCTGCATAACTTTCAATACTTCGTTTAGTCAACTTCTTCGCTTCTTGTGTTTTCTGTAGCAGTACTTTCCACGCTGTAATTATACGAGTAGTAACGCTCATAATAGGCATTGGCCACTCCTTGTAATATTGCCTAAATTTGCCGCAAATAATTATAACCTTTATACGACTTTCAGTTAACAAAAGTACTGCGCATCCAGAAATTTGTCACCAAAATTTGTTATGCTAATGCATATGCATAATTCTAGCACACAATTACCTAAAAAATGTCAGTGTAGGCAAAACAGTCAGAAAAAATTATAGGTGGTGTACGTTGATACGAATACGTTGCTACGAATATTATTCGGTGTACGTACGTTGATTTTCCTTTTTAAAAACCAAAAATGTAAGTCCATTATTTTGGTATTAATAAGTATACGTAAATACCGTATTAAGGGCAAGATCACTGCCCTGCTCAAGGGGCTTCACTGTATTCTATACAGTGAAGATACAACAATTAATATATGATCGTTTCTCCTACACTATACGTAACGGAGAACACCGCCAAATCCCCTCAATGATCTTTACTGTAGCCGCACACGATAGATAATGATTCGCTCAATCACAACTTCATCATGGCGCTGAGAAATCAGCATAGAAAACAGACGTCTTTAGACACAGATAGCTACGTGAAGATAGTTCACAACAATTGCATAAACGCCGGATTACGCCGGTGAGCAACACTGTATACATGACTATGCGTCACACAGCACTCCCGTTCTTAAGTTTGAAGCACGGCGAAAACCAATCACTTTGAGAAACGGAACATAACTTGAACGATTGGATGACCGTAATGAAGGAAAACGCTATATAAAAATTACATGAAAGAAGAGGTGCAAGCGTTAAGGCAAGGCATTACGGCGAGGGTTCCCGTAGGGTCCGGTTACGAAGTGTCCGGATAACGGGGCGATCGGTTTCGTCGACGGGCTCGTCCGGTTTCCTGGCAGGACGACGAGGTTTGGTGACGCAGTCCCGCTCAATTTCCACGCGCAGCTCGGGATCCACGTCCTCGACGGGAATGTCCCACTGTGAATCAGTGTCACCCATTAAATCCAAATCAGACAGAGGCTCCGTGAACAGTTTTAGTCTCTTTACGTGGACAACAAGAGTGTTTTTACCACGTTTTTTAGTACGCACAGACTGGATCTCGTAGTTAAGCTTTGATTTACGGCTAACCACTTTGTACGGTCCAAAGTAATGTGCGATTAATTTCGGAGACAAACCAACAGGAGTTACCGGCGTATACAATAACAC